GGAGTCAGGTGGGGCAGCCTTGGGGAGGCTCGGGGGGGCAAGCAGGGGATGGGGCTGGGCAGGGCAGGAATTGGGGGGGGAGTATCTGTGGAGGACCCAGCCTCCGATAGCCTCAGTTCTCGACCGTGCCCTGCCCCACCTTTTTCTGCTGCAATTTTTCTTTACCCCCAGGTGTCTAATTTTGCCCCTGCACTACAAATTTGCAGCACAGGGAACATTTCCTCATTCCTGCATGTGCCTCTTGCAGCATCTCAAAGGGCTTTGAGACACTGTAAGATGTACGTGCGCACTCGTCTGGATGCAGCCTTTGAGTTTTGAGAGATCATGTGAGACACAGTAGCTCTATCCAGACTTCCAGACATTGTAAAATATAACTTGGCAGAGACTTATGAAGTCTGAGTTGTCATTGTGCTTATGCTGCTCTGAGACTAAAGATGTTAAAGGAATAATCTCAGATATAAAACTGAGAATTCTGGAATTCTATTTCCAGGTCTGTCTTTGAGTGTATAATGTAACGTAATGTAACATAACATAACATAACATATAATCTGCCTAGAGTGTTACCACTCCTCACTGGACTTTTTATATCTGTGGGTCAATCTCTCTACTGCTAGGAGCTAAAGAGATTCTACTTTATCTTGATACCTTACCTCTGCAGTGGGAGGATCTAGAATTTAGCCCACCATTGACCTCAGCTTTGTATTGTTTAATAACTTCATTAATGCTGTGGATGATGGGATTGAGTGCATGTTTAGCAAGTTTGCAGATGATACCAAGTTGAGTGGAGTTGCAGATACTCTAAATACTCTGGAAAGTAGGGCTAAGATCCAGAATGACTCAACAGTCTGGAGAAATGGTCTGTAATCAATCAGATGAGATTCAACAAGGATGAGTGCAAAGTCCTGCACTTGGGATGGAATAACCTTATGCACAAATATATGCTGTGGAATTACTGACTGAGCTGCAGGATGTGGGGCTTACAGCGGACTGTAAGCTGAATATGAGACAACCGCATGCTCTTATTGCAAAAAACCACAACAACATTCTGGGTTGTATTAATCAGAGTGCCACTTGAAAATCAAGGGAAGAGTTTCTTCCACTCTACTCAGCACTGGTGAGGCCTTATGTAGAGTACTGCATCCAGTGTTGGGCCTCACACTTTAAGAAAGGTGTTGACAGATTGGAGAGAGCTCAGAGTAACAAAAATGATCCAGAGCCTGTGAAGCAGGATGTAGGAGAAATGGCTGAAAGAACTATGATTATTTAGACTGGAGAAGAGAAGACTGAGGGGGGAACTCCACTTGATACCTCCTCCCAGGTAGACATAGGGCCATTGATGACTACTCATTGAGCATGATGATCCAACTGGTTACGTATCCACCTTACAGTACTTTCATCTAGTCTGTATTTCCTCAGTTTGTTAAGGAGGATGTCATGGGAGAAAGTGTCAAAAGCCATGCTAAAACCTTGTATATCACATCCACTGTTCTCCCCACATTCAGACAGGCTTGTCATAGAAGGAAATTAGGAAATTAGGTTGGTAAATCCACAGTGTCTGTTCCAGATCACTTTGTTCTGCTTTAGGTGCTTCGCAGTAGATGCCTTGAGGAACTGCTCCATAATCTCTCCAGGTATTGAGGTCAGGCTGACTGGTCTGTGGTTCCCCAGATCTTCAATGTTCCATTTTTTTAAAGTTGGGCACTATATTTGCCTTTTCCAGTAATCTGGGACCTCAACTAATCCCCACGAATTCTCAAAGAGATTAGGTGAGGTCTGAAATCATCTCAGACAATTCTTTCAGTACCCTCAAGTGTGTGCCATCTGGTCCTGCTGACCTGAGAGCATCTAATCCCTACCTGTTCTTCTACTACTCTAGGCTGCTTGTAGCCTTTTCTCTTTACTGCCAACTACACTCATCAACTGGTACCTGCCTTTATTTGTGAAGACTGAAGTAAAAAAAAACATTAACTACTTCAGCCTTCTCTGCATCATCCATAATAGATTGCCTTCTGCCTTCACATTCTGGGTGCTCCATAGAACCTTCTGTTTCTAGGCTTGTAAATATAAAATGATCTTATTTTAGAAGAACTAAGTGAAATTTTTGGTTGGTTTGGAACCAGTCAGCTCAGTTTCAGTCTATTAACTTTACCACCCACCAGCAAAATTTAAATCATTTCAAGGTCCTACATTATTGCTGCATATACACCATGTCATTTCATTACCAGAAATCTCTAGTGTGCAGTATTTATTTTGTTATTAATGATAGATTTTGTAACACAGCTGGAGGGCAAATTCTCACAAAACTGGTGAAATTACATTGACAGTTTCCTTCCCTGAGTGACAGGTAATTTTGTTGTTTGGCTGTTATACTTTTAATAATTGGGGGACAGGGAGGAGGGCAATGGGAAGAAACAGAAATTATCTACCTACTAAACTTAGTAGAATAATATGAAAATTCAAGCATATTTCAGCCTTTTGCAAAGCATCCGAAGGTTTTCTTTTTTGATGCTGTTGTTGTTATAATGGAAACTTCAGCCTAATAAAAAGGAACTACAGCAGTGCTTCTTAATCAGGGTGCCACAAGATCCTTTTAAAAGCGATGTGGGTTGCTGCACGATGGTAGCACTAATACATGTACAAACACCTGCACTTTATTCACAAGATAAATGACAAGAGATTTAAGGGAATCAAAAACATTCTACCCTGTTGTGGTCTTCCTGAGTTCTTTGGGACAGAAGAATTGCTTTGTTTTTCTTTAACCAAAAACTGAGTGAAAGATAGGAGCTGGCAATTTACCAACAGGTGCCTGGCATCTAACGGGAGAGGCATTGAATCTAAAAAAGGTTGAGAATCATTGAACTATAGTGTAGGGTTTCTACCTTCCACAACAGTTGCATAAACATTGAGGGCCCAATTCTGACCCAGTGTAACAAGTGGGCCATCTTGGGACCAGTCCAAATGTTGACCTATCCACTTGTTTAGGGCAGCCTGCCCACCTATCTTACCTGCCATGCCTTTGATGTAACTTTAGTTGTTCCCAGGCAGAAGGCTGCCCATTTAATTGCCCTGACGCCAAGGGAGAATACATGGCTCTGAACCTTTCCTTATACCATGTCCCATGTCTTGCAGATGGCATCCATAT